GCAGCCCGCAAATGATGGCCGATGACGAAGGTGGCCAGCCTGCCAAGAAAAAGCGATCCCGTGGCGACTCCCAGCACGGGGGCGGCCGGCGATCCCGGGCGGCCCAGCCTGCACCACCTCCGCGTGCAAACAGCGCAACCGCCAATTCCTGCAAGGGGTGCGCAGCCCCATGCGCACCCCAGGCGGAGGGAGGAGGACAGAGGAAGGAGGAGAACCGGAGGGGAAGGAGGAGGGAGGATCTGTCTGCCAAGTGCGGCGCTAGAAATCGCGCATGCCGAGCGTTCAGGGCACCCGCCTGGCACCCCGGTCACGGGCGGCTTCTGTCAGCCGTTCGGCCCCAGCCCCATGGCCATGGGCATGCTGGCGGGGCAGCCTTACCCCCAGCAGGGCCGCAAGCCCATTGGGAGGACAGGGAACCGCCCCCCGGAGGAGAGGGAGAGAGAGCGAGAGACCGAGCCGAAACCAAGAGAGAAAGTTGAAGGAATCGAGCGAGCAGACCAACGGAGGACAAGCGAGGGCAAAAGAGGAGAGGAACGGTACCCTGCCACCCCATGGGCGTGCGGCCCGGCCAGGGCGGGAATCCCTCGAAGAAGACTGCCCCCATTGAAAAGGCATTATGGTGGGCCTCGCAACGTACGACATTATGCTATCGGTGCTATCGGCCGGGCGGCCGGGACAGCACCCAGAGGGCAACGCGCACGCACCGAGCCCGTGACACTCGAAGAGGGCCACACCGCCCAGGCGACACGGGCAAACAAATATCAATAATGTGAAACAAGAGTGTGAAACAAATACAACAGCCGCCGCGCCCCCTCAGCGCGGCCCCTCTAACATGCACCCGCATCTCCCGAAAACGGCGCCCGTCGTCAACTCCAAGCATCACCCTGCTACTGGTGGCCCTCCCGCAGGTATTCCGCGAAGGCCCCCTTGATGGAACCTACTTTTTTAGAATGGTCCGCGGTAGTGGGCGTGATCGGGGGGGGTAGGTCCCCCCCGATCGCGGCGGGCTTCGGCCTCCCGAATTTTTTTCGGGCCCCCGGGCCGTCGGGAGGAGGAAGATAAGGAACAGGGAGAAGGAGCAGAGGAGGAAGAGGGGATTGAGGAGGAATTCCTGGGAACACGTTAAGATTATGCTGCTGCTGTTGTTGCTGCTCCTTCTCCTCCTCCTCCTCCTCCTCCTCCTCCTCCTCCTCATCCTCCGCTCCCTGTTTCCCCGGTCGTCGTCTTCGCCGTCGTCCTCCTCATGCAGTGGGGAGGATGCTCAGGAATATGCTTGTGAACGTTCGGGGGGCGCGTGCCCATACGTATCCCGTGCGAGCGTTCAGAGAGTTCGCTTGTATGACGCTCGATCGCGATAGTGCTGCAGTTGTTTGCGCAACTCTTCCATGTCACGCGTTTCCCGATCATGTCAGGAATGGTATGGAAAACGAGCGTTTCGCTTGAGACATCATCGCTCGAGACGCCCCCTAAAAAATCCTTCGACCGGACCCTCGAAACCATCTGGCTCCCTCCTCTTCCTCCACCTCCCGGTCGCGGGCAACAGCGACGACGACGAATTCCTGGGAAACCCTTGAAATTCTGCGGGATACCTGGAAGATTCCTTGAGAGACGTGGGGAAAACAGCGCGACGTGATCGGGGGGGGGACAGGCGGGCGAAGGACCCAGCCATATGCAGCTGTGAATACCGGACTTGTGCTGGGTGGTGGCGGACGCAAGCGGGCGGTGCCAGTGGGGCCTTCGGTGGAATTCCCTATGGGGCCACGAAGCGCTGTAGGGGGTGGGTGAAACGCGAAGAGCAAGGGCTGTGCTGGGTGGTGGCGGACGCCTGCGGGCGGTGCCACCGGGACCTTCCGTGGAACCCCCTATGGGGCCACGAAGCCTGTAATGGGTGGGTGAAACGCAAGGAGCAAGGGCTGTGCTGGGTGGTGCCCCCCATGGGGCCACGAAGCGCTGTAGCGGGTGGGCGAGGCGCAGGGAGCAAGGGCTGTGCTGGGTGGTGGCGGAATCATGCGGGCGGTGCCACTGGGACCTTCGGTGAAACCCTCTGGGGGGCCACGAAGCGCTGCACTAGGTGGGTGAAACGCAGCCCCCTTGATGGGGCCACGAAAGCTGTACTGGGTGGGCGAAACGCGAAGAGCAAGGGCTGTGCTGGGTGGTGGCGGACGCATGCGGGCGGTGCCACTGGGACCTTCGGTGGAGTTCCCTATGGGGCCACGAAGCGCTGTGCTGGGTGGGTGAAACGCAGGGAACAAGGGCTGTGCTGGGTGGTGGCGGACGCATGCGGGCGGTGCCACTGGGACCTTCGGTGGAGCTCCCAATGGGCCACGAAGCGTTGCACTGGGTGGGTGAACCGCAGGGAGTAAGGGCTGCGCTGGGTGGTGGCGGACGCATGCGGGAAGTGCCACTGGGACCTTCGGTGGAACCCCACATGGGGCCACGAAGCGCTGTACTGGGTGGGCGAAACGAAGGGAGCAAGGGCTGTGCTGGGTGGTGGCGGACGCATGCGGGCGGTGCCACTGGGACCTTCCGTGGAACTCCCGGGTGGGTGAAACGCAGGGAGCAAGGGCTGTGCTGGGCGGTGGCGGACGCATGCGGGCGGCGCCACTGGGACCTTCAGTGAAGCTCCCCATGGGGCCACGAAGCGCTGTGCAGGGTCGGCGAAACGCAAGGAGGAGGGAGGAAAGGGAGGAGGGAGGGGGAGGAGGAGGAGAAGAGGAGAGTAACGCGGGGACCGTCGATCTCTTCAAAACGAGGAGCCAACACCACAAGATGGTTGGGGAAAAAACAGACTCATGTCCACCACCGGCAGATCGCCGCAACGCCCGTGGTTGTAGCACCGGTGCAAAGCCTGAGCGCTCATGGCCCGGCGTCGGATTCTCGGCCGCCCCGCTGCGAAGGCGGCGTCTCCCCCCAGCAGCAAGAAGTGGCCCAGTGCTTGCCCCCGCGGGCCCGGCTTTGATCGACAAAAAGCGGTCGAACAGGTGCCGCTGGACCGGGTAACTGATTGAGTGCTCGACGCTGTCCCGGCGCCCTCCACAGCCGAAGCGGCACGGCGAACGTCCCTGCAAGCGCCGGCTGGTGCGCCATTTATTCGGTCGCAGCCGGATGCACGCCGCCAGGACGCGGGGTGGGCATTGCGCGGCCGCCGCCGCCAGTGCGGTCTGAACCCGCCAGAGACGCCGCCCTGGTAGCAGCAGCTGCAGCGGCCACCTGTCGCCAATGTCGTAGCGCCTCCCCGCCGCGCGCCGGCGCGATGAGAAGAGAGGCCTTGCTCTGCCAGCGACCGTGCGCTCCTCACGCCGTCCAGGCCGTGGGCAAGTGCTCTCCTGTGAGCGTTCACGCGGTCGTCCGCCTTGGCGATTTGCACCAGGAATGCCTGGTCGCGCCAGTCACACAACTAAGCCAGTCTGTCGAGGGAGGTGGACGCTAGCACGGCAGAGCGAAGGCCCTGCAAAGCGCGGGCCCGCTCGTGGACGCCGAGCTCGCCGGAAACCTCCCATTTGGCTACCCGGGCCCTGGCCGCGATGACCGTTCGCGCCAACTCCTTGAGGGCGATGCGGACATGTAGTTCTGTCAATTCCTTCAGGCAAGCAGGGCTAATCCAGTCGGAAGGGCCCAGTATGATCGCCGAACACGCCCGCTTCTCCCAGTCTGTCCAGTCTTTTGGCAAGATCAACACCGAAGCTACGTATACTCAGTAAGCATGGAGCGAAAGCTGCAGCCCTGCGCCATGCCGGCCCCATGAGTGAGCTCGTGCCAAGAGTTTGTCCAAAGGCACCTTCCAAGAAAACCCTTCCTTCCTTGCACCACGTAGACGCCGAAATTTTAGGCGGCCTCAGGAACCTCCACTACGCCCCAGCCTGGGGCCGCACGAGTCAAGTCGGAGCGCGTCGCTGCCAAATCCTTCGGGCCCAACGGCAGCAACACCGTCTTCGGCACGTTTAGACCCAAGCCGGAGATACGAGCAAACTGGTCGAAGAAGGCCTGAAGGTCCCCCACATGAAGGTCCCCCAGCGAACAGGAAAATGCATGATGGCTTACATCGCCCCTGTTTCCGTGCTCAATTTGTCAGTGGGAATGCGGCACGGCCATGTAGGGGTAAACCTACCGATGACCACATAAGAAGCTTACGAACAAAAAACAGGTCAACCAACATTCCGAATACTCTGGCATTCAAGGAAATGGGAACATGCCGTAAACGCTGTGGGGTGATACCTATGCCAGTGTAAGCTATGTGGTCTGAACTGTGGGGAAAACGATATGCCGTGTAAACTATGTGGTGAAACGTGTGTCGTGTACACTGTACGGTGTGGCCGATGGCGGTGGAACATAGGCTGCACACACTTCGTGATATAAGCTATGCTGTGCAAGCTATGCGGTGCGCACTGGATGTAAGATGATTGGGTGTAGGGTATGTGCTGTAAGCTATGGTGCGGGAGCTATGCGGTGTAAGGTATGCGGAGTCCGCTATGTGGTGTACGCTATACAGAGGGAGCTAGTTCCTGTAAGCTCAGAGCACGAGGTGCCCATGAGGCGCCCACACAGCTGGCGAACACCCAGCATGCACACAGAATGCGGGGTGCCAATGCGGCGCCCACGAGGCGCCCACGAGGCGGCGCGGGCGGCACCGTGGCGCAAACCCAACGTACCCCTACCGCGCGGGAGCGTCCACAAGCCGACACGGACGGCAACGTGGCAACCTCAGAAAGCCAAGTACGGACCCCCTAAACGCAAGCACGCGCTGTTTGGTTCATGCTTCTATCTATTTATACAGATGAACAGACAAAACGGCATGTACACGTGATGTATGCATATGTAGTCCATTCAGGTATAAATATGTGCGTCTGCATATGCGCGTGCGAACATGTAAGCTGGCCACAAACCATACTCACAATGAGAAACCCTTCAGAGTCCTGATCCAACACCTCGTGGTCGCTCGACTCATCGACAAACGTGCCGAGTCATTTGTGGATCGTGATCAGGTCCACTAGGAAGGCGACGCATCTGGAAAAAAGCGGCTGCCCGAAGCACCAAGACCAACGACTCCGAGTTGAATTGCGCGATGCGCCTGCTGGCCTGTGGGAATTGCATTAACGAGTGTGCGGAGAACAGGGAACAGGAATGGGCGAGACGTGTGGAGAGTAAGATTATTGACGTAGTCTGAGGGGTGAGGTGATCAAGCACGGATGAGTGTCGTCCTCCTCCTCATCCTCCTGATCCTCGTCGTCACCGTCCTCCTCCTCATCCGCACCATCAGTATCAGTACCATCACCATCACCATCACCATCATCATCATCCTCCTCCCCCTCATCATCATCACCATCACCATCATCATCATCATCATCATCATCATCATAAACAGTATCAACGTCATCATCATAAGCAGTATCACCATCGTCGGAACATTCAGATTCAGCATCATCATCACCACCACCAGCATCCACCACCTCAGCAGCAGCATCAGCAGACGCAACTGCATCATCATCATCATCATCATCATCATCATCATCATCATCATCATCATCATCCTCTTCGTCTTCCTCCTCCTACTCCTCCACCGTCTCCTCCTCCTCCTCATCATCATCATTAACATCATCATCAATATCATCATCTTCATCAACAACATCGTCATCATCACCACCGCCAATTCCAATACCACAACAGTCAAGTCATCATCATCAACACCATCAAGTCATCAGCAGCATCATCCTCATCGTCAGCGACATCAACACCAACATCAACATCAACATCATCATCGTCATCCTCAGCATGACCGCCATCATCAACAACAACACCAACATTCATCACCATTATCTTCATCCTCATCCTCATCAACAAGAACAGCAGTCGCAGCAGCCGTAACAGCAGCAGCCGAAGCAGCAGCCACAGCAACAGCAACATCATCATCATCATCATCATCATCATCATCATCATCATCATAAACATTATCAACATCATCATCATCATAAGCAGTATCACCATCGTCGGAACATTCAGATTCAGCATCATCATCACCACCAGCATCCACCACCTCAGCAGCAGCATCAACAGACGCAACTGCATCATCATCATCATCATCATCATCCTCTTCGTCTTCCTCCAACTACTCCTCCACCGTCTCCTCCTCCTCATCATCATCATTAACATCATCATCAATATCATCATCTTCATCAACAACATCGTCATCATCACCACCGCCAATTCCAATACCACAACAGTCAAGTCATCATCATCAACACCATCAAGTCATCAGCAGCATCATCCTCATCGTCAGCGGCATCAACACCAACATCAACATCAAAATCATCATCGTCATCCTCAGCATGACCGCCATCATCAACAACAACACCAACATTCATCACCATTATCTTCATCCTCATCCTCATCAACAAGAACAGCAATCGCAGCAGCCGTAACAGCAGCAGCCGAAGCAACAGCCACAGCAACAGCAACAGCAACAGCAACATCATCATCATCATCATCATCATCATCATCATCATCCCCCTACTCCGCCTACTCCGCCTCCTGCCCTTCCTGGAGCCCGCGACTTCCACACCCGTCCCCCTCTCTCCGTTCCGCCTCCTTCTCATCCCCCTCCTCGGCCGCTTCCATCCCTCCTCCCATCCCCCGTTCAGTGCCCTTTCAGGAGGAAGAAGAAGGAGGGGCAGGAGAAAGCTGAGGGGAGGAGGAGGGGGAGGAGGAGGAGAACGAAGAGGACGACGACGGCTGATGACGAGGGAGGAGTGTCTTGTTCTTGCTAGCTTCGATTTGACGTCGCTATATTTCCCCATGCGCTAGTTCCCAGAGGAACCGTCTACGGCGCAGCGGCACAACACAACGACCGCTCCGCCCGTGCGCGACCTGTTCCAGTTGGAGGGCGGATGGAGAGAATGGCGGGGGGGCAAGATGGACAGGGAGGCGGAGGGTTCTGGGTTACGGGTGGGCGACCAAGTCGAATCCCACCATAGAGGCATCCCAGATGGCGTCCAAGTAGATGGGGTCAGAAGATCGCGCCGCATCGTCGATACATCACCGATGCATCAGCGATGCAATTCGGATGCATCCGCGACGTCGGCGATGCACCAGCGCCATCGGCGTGGAGAAACTCTGGCTCCACATCCAACCGCATCGCAAATGCATCGACGATGCGGCGCGATCTTCCGACCCTATGTACTCGGACCTCATATGGGAAGTCTTGAGGAATTGGTGGGCGACTGGGTAGAATCCTAGCAACCCTGACGAGAACGGAAAATCGGCCGCTCGTGCTACCATAAACGGTTAAATCGAGTGCGCTTCGATACGGCGCGGGGGCAGCACTTACCAGACCGAATAATCACGCTCTAGCCCAAATATTGCACTACGATCTGAATGTTACGTTGGAAACTCACTCCCGCCAGGATTTCGCTGATTCCACATGCAGCTGTGATTTCGGCTATCATTGCTGTGGCTCCTGCATCTAACGGGGTACTACACGTCCGCCACCTCAACCCATTCAGCGACATGATCCACCCAACTCCCACGCCTTGCTCTCTCTTCCCCCCGTCGAAGCACGCCACGCCATGCACACCTGGGTCTGCGAACACAACTGGATCGATCACATAAACCTCATCGAACACATGCTCGATCGCTCTCGCAATCATCGCCGTCGGATCGGCCCCCCCACTGTGCTCCCGAAATACGTGCTTCACTAAATCACCTCCTTGATCGATCAAATCGAAAAACCCGATCGCCCAACAGAATCGCAGATGCAGCCTGCGCCGGCTGCGCCGGATTACAACCAGCTGCAGCCGAGGGTTACCGCATCGCATCTACTTAACAGAGCCCGCTATCTCCTCGGACGAACTCGTTATATTATTCGCGATAACGCCCGTGACCCGCCCCCCCTTCTCCCCCACCCTAGTCGCTTCACGATTCGCGCTGGCGCTGTCTGGGAACGTGCCATTCTGAGACATTCCCAGACAGCGCCGGCACGAATCGTGACGTGACCGGCACCCTCCCCCCTACCCCCCCCCCAGGACACGCCCGCTACCACCAGGGTGCAAAACAAACAAAAACCGCTTTCTACTTCTTCTGTGAGGCGGTCTGGTTTCGGGGCAGAGGTCGAAAATGCTTTCTCGGAGGATGAAGATTCAATGTACCCGCCGCAACTCCGTCAAGCGAAACTGGAACTGGTGCCCGCGCGCGCGCTCCGGCAGGGCGGCGGCACGGGAGGGGTGGGGGGGAGGGTGTCCTCATCCTTCATCCTCACCCCTGCTCCACCTCCCCACCACCACAACCACAATCATCAGCATCAGTATCACCATCACCACTATCACCATCACCATCACCACCATCATTATCACCACCACCACCACCACCACCACCATCATCATCATCATCATCATCATCCTCATCCTCATCCTCATCCTCATCATCAGCATCAGCATCAGCATCAGCATCAGCATCAGCATCAGCATCATCATCATCATCATCATCAGCATCATCATCATCATCATCATCATCATCATCATCATCATCATCATCATCATCATCATCATCATCATCATCATCATCATCATCATCATCATCATCATCATCATCATCATCATCATCATCATCATCATCATCATCATCATCATCATCATCATCATCATCATCATCATCATCATCATCATCATCATCATCATCATCATCATCATCATCATCATCATCATCATCATCATCATCATCATCATCATCATCATCATCATCATATCATCATCAGCATCACCATCTCAATGAGCATCACCATCCTCAGCAGCAGCGTCATCATGAATGTCGTCATCATCGTTCTCCCATGCGACGGCAGGAGGCAAGGAGACCGCTGGCGACAGCTCGTGTGCGCCCAGCCCCCCCGTACAGTGCTATCAGATCGTGAGGATGCGTGGTAAGGATGCAAGGCCCTTGGACGCCCCAGTGGAAGCCGAGGGTGGAAACCCATTGCCCATGACTGAAAGCTGGAATTGGCAGAGACGCAGGGGTACAAAGGTACCCATGGAACGTTACTCGTCCTTGTGATCCTCTTCGACTGTACTCCGTCATCCTCCCTCCTGCCTCCTCCTCCCCCCTCCTCTTGGCATCAATGATACGGGTCCTGAAGGAAACGGCTCCTGGACACTGGGGCCTTCCCTGGAGCCCTGAGTTCCTCCCGGGTGGTTTCCTGACTGGGTCCGAGGGCCCCGGGAGCCTGGAAGAGGGGAAAACCAGAAAACCCATCTTCCTCACTCGCCCACACACTCCTGGCCCAGAACCCGTGCTGGGGCCTGCAGGGAGAGCGCCGGAAGCAGCTCTGCGTCCCAGTGGCCAGCGCGCGCGAAGGCCACCATCACGGTCTGCAGGTCCCTTGCTGCATGGGGAGGGAGGAGGTGCTGAAGATTCGCCGCTGTTTCGTTCGATGGTCGCACCAGAACTTGCGCGCGGAGTGCCTGGTTCGATTGCACTGTCAAATGGTCACTGATGTGAGTCAGTGGCGACCAATCAGCCTCGCATCCAAGGATGAAAAGTCCGTGGATGGCGGCTGGCATGATTTGCAGGTCGTGCGCGCGCGTGCACTGGCATCTGTTCAATCGCGCATCCGAGATGACAACATGGTGTACCACGGCTAAGCGTCAGTGGTCACTCTTGCGCGACAATGGCACGTGGACGAGGGTCAGCCCTGCATTTCCTTGCAACACGCGGGTGCCCCTTCCCGGGCCCTTCCAACGCTCCTGTCCAATCATGCCTTAATCCGGTGCTCCGTGACACCCTTCATCAGCCTCCTCATCCCCCCTCAGCGGCGCTTGACACTGAGGTCCCTGATCACGTCGACCAAGCACCTGCACAAGAGACTGATCTTTCAAGCCCCCAGTGACAACGTCAAGACCAAACGCGAGGAGGTAGAAATAGGAGGGAAGCGTGAACCACATTTCGAATGGGAAATAGGGAAATGGTAGCATGGGAAATGGTCGAGTGAGCGAATTGGGAAACGGAGAAGGTGGAGTACGAATGAGGGTAGGAAGGGGGAGGGAGGGGCCGGAGGGAGGGGCGGATTAGGGAAAGGCACCATTGACCAGACTGCTAGGTCTACGAGCGGTCCGCCATTCAACAACTCCTTCGAGATAAAACCAGGAGCTGCACAGGAGGGACACCCATTGCGGATTGCGTAGGGAGAACCCCCAACTCGCAGCCTGTTGATTACTTGAGGGTGATGGCTCGGGCATGCCATCTGTATCAGCCTTTCTTCGCTCCGACAACCCAAAAGTGACGTCCCAGAATGGGGCACCCCCTCAGAACGTGCTGTATCCCCGAGTGGTTGGGTAATCATTCTCGTGTGCGCCTGGTGGTGCCCTGTCTCCCAGGATAGTCCAGAATCGAATCGATGAGTCCGATCGGCGATCAGAACGAATCGGATCGGCGGAAATCGGCAGCCGAGTCGGGAGAAAACGAATCGGTGGAAATCGGCAGACCAATAGGCCTCCCTTAAGGAAACCAAAAGGTACCGATACCGCTACTTCCCGGACCTCTCCCACGGTGCGTTCTGACCAGAATTCCAAGGAGAATCCAGCGGTGGCGACGAGAGCCGCCCAAGGGGCCCAAAAAGGGAACACTAGGGAAAGGTAGCGGTATGGGTACATGTTCCTCCTCTGATCCATTGAGAAATCGGAACCCAAGTCGGAATCCGAAATCGAATCGAATCGGAATCGGAATCAATCGAATTCGAAATCGAAGCGCAATCGGAGGAGTCGAGATGAGAGTCGAAGGCCCTCGTGCGCGGGAGAGGCTGCGAACGGCTGGAACACGCGGGCGCGGTCCGACCCGCAGGTCAAGGGAGGAACAGTAATGGAGAAGCGGGAGGAGGGAGGGCAGAGAAGGACGAGGAGGAGGGAGGGAGTAGGGATGATTTGTTTTGCTGTGGACGACAACCGAAATGACTTCAAAGCGGCTCGTCGGCTGGCTGGCAGACTAGCGAAAATTGCCAGGTGGAGGAGGAGGTTTGAGCCGAAAAGGGCTAGAAGCCGTCGAACGCCAGGTGAACCCAGAAATCGATGGAAGACAGGGAGCGAAGGACGAAGGGAGGAGGGAAGAAGGGAGGGAGGGAGGCAGGGAGAAGGGAAGAGGGGTCGGGGAGGGAAGGGAGACGGAAAGCGGGGTGGCTTCGTTTGTTGGGGGAGCCGTGTCGCGGAGCTCCTCGCAACAAAGACGCCAGCACGCCAGCAAGACCCTGAAGCTGCTCAAGGAAGGGAGAGGCCCATCCACCAACCGAATGGCCGGTCGGAGCTTCCGCCTCAGAATCTAAATCTGGCTCGTCGGGCTTCTAATGTCTGAGCGTCGCGTTTCATCGGGAGGCAGACGTTTCCGCATCTTGACGGAGCCTGAAGGAGGCGGGCGGGGTGGAAAGGAGAGACGCGAGGCGCAAGGCACGCGGCACGGTGCGCGAGGGGGGGGGACGGAGGGGGGAGGGGGAAGGGCTCCCGCCCAGTCGGGGGCAGGGGGGTGGAATTCGAGGTCGGCCAGCCAATGCCCACCGCCGCCTAGCAGCGATGTCCGCGGCGGGCACCTCCAAGGCCAAAGGATTGCCACCCGCGGCGCCCAAAAACCGCCGAACCGCACTTGCGACTCTCCTCCCCGGACGGGAAGCATTGGCATGGGCGCCTCTGCGCCCGCGGCACCTCTCGGCCTGGGAATGGCAGGGGCGCCCCCGCCCGGGGGGGGATTACCTCTGGCCCTTCCGAGCTTGGCGCCCAGGGCTGAGGCACCGAGTGGAGCCTCGGCGGGGGGCCCAGGGTGCAGGCGGAGGGGGTGGGCCTTCCCAGAAGGCTCTGAAAGCTCTGGACCTTCCGAGAAAAAATGTCTGAATCCTCTCCGAAGACAGACGGCTTCTCAGAAGGCCCGAAGGCTTCTGAAAACCCCCACCAGGTCACCAGGACTTGAAACCTCTCACTTCCCCCCCCCAGACGCGCCGCCGAAAAACGGGCGCGCAAACAGACCAAGCGCAGTGGATATGTCACATCGTCGCCCCGGAGCTAGGACCTTGTGCGCCGGCCTTGCCCGGGAGGTCAAGCAATCTCCGACGGCCCTCACGCCCCGGAGCGCTCGGCCAGGAGCACTCGCGCGCAAAGTTCTCTCGACAGCACTTCGGGCCCGCAGCGCCCGAAGAAACAAACGGTCCGACTAGCCAGAAGCGAAACCTCTATCGGCAAGCTCACACGGGGGGGAATGCGGCGGCAGCGCAAATCTCTGACGACGCCGCCGAGGACAGCCACGCTTAGGCTTGCCCCACCCAAGTTCGGCGTCGGCCACGAGCTGCACCACCTTCCTTTGCCGCCAACGCAACGGCAGCGCAAGACCCATGGCTTTGCCGCGCACGACAGCATACTCACGCCTGTTTTACCCTTAGCTCGGCGCCAACAACGAGCTTGCATACCGTCGTTCGCTGCGCCTGCTCGGTCACTCGCGGCCCGAGGAGGCGGGGAGCTCGGCGAACGAGCGAGCGAGAGTGCCTTGCACCAGGCGGCGCGCGAGCAGTGAAACCCCCACTGCCCCCTGTCGTAGTCAGCATCCACGCGCTGGTCGCGCGAAACTGCGGTTGCCGCGTGCGCCGCCATCGCGAGCGCAACGCGCTTCGCGAGTGGCACTCGGAAGAATGCGAAATAGGCCACCGAAGAAAGCTTACCACAGCGAATACACATCGGTTCGATTGCCAATGGTCGGGGGGACTCGTGTAGCCTCAAAAAAAGCACTCGCGCTTTTGTGAGCTAGCCTTTCTCCGACAGAATCTCAAGCATATCGCGCAGGGGGCGCGCGTGCGTTCCCTGTTGTCTTCGCCGCGATGATTCACAAAGCGCCATGTCGCAACTGAAAGTGTCGGGGGGTCGCGCGCCGCAGCTGCGCGAACGCCCGAGCCGAAGGTCCACGCGCGCGCTCGGATAGCCGCCGCCCAAAGACGGCGCAAAGCGGAAAGCCAGAGGCGCCCGGTGCAGTGAGTCGAGGCGAACAACCTCAATGGAACGCCATCGCACAAGAGCTGCAAGCCCACAGGTTCATCTGACGCTCAATCGGGCAAAGCCCAACAACGCCGCGCCCTGGGGCGGCGCCGAAGCCGCGCCGGGCGCCCCAATCACCCGTTGACGACTTTTGGACCAACAGCTCCCAAGAGCTTCCGCAATAACCAAATATGACAGAATGGCTCATGTACTTTCGAACTGCATGGCGCAGTCACCGCACTTGGTCATCGGCGTCGAGAAGCTCGGGCCCTGCACCACCTGTCCGGGCCCGCCGCCCCGGCCAAATACCACAGGGAAGTGGGGGGTGAAAGACCGAGCGCGGGCAAGGGCGCCCGGCGACCAGAGGGGGGCGCCCCGGAGGGGGGGGAAGGGGGAGGAGGAGGGGGCAGGAACCGACATGCGGAGGAAGGGGGCGCGCGGCCGTGGGACCCGAGCCACCGACCCCCGCCATTAGGCGCGCGCGCCCACCTGGGGAGGCAAGGCGCGAAAGAAAAGATGGAAAGGGGGAAGGAGGGGCAGGGGGGGCTCGCGCCGAACAAAACAAAATATGGCTACGGCATCGAAGAGGGGCGACGACGACGACGACGACGAGGGCAGGGCGAGGATGGGGGGATAGCGACGACGACGAGGAGAAAGGAAGCGACGACGACGACGACGACGAGGACGCGGAGGGGGCGGACGACGACGACGACGAGGACGAGGACGCGGAGGGGGGTGGAAGATTGACGGCGACCAGGAGGACGAGGGGAGAGAACAAGGTGGCGGTAGGTGACGACGACGACGACGACGGCGAGGTCGATAACGGGGCGGGAGGACGGTTCGGAAATGGCAGCGAAAAAAGGGACGACGACTGGCATCACTCGCCCTAGAGGGCCACGCGGGGAAGGCATGGAGACTGGATGGGGGTGGCCAGAGCAAGTCGCGCGCCGCCGTCTTCGGGGCCATCGCTCGAGCGCCCTAGGGCCCGCCGCTCGGGCGCAGTGGCCTAGTGTTGTCACCGGGCGGGCCGCCCCTCAACTGGTCGCGCGCAACCGACTGCCGCGCGCCGAGCTGGAAGGGACCTGGCGAAACGGCGGCTCTGACCCGGTAGACTCGCGAGGCCGCGCCAGCCATCTCCCGCTAGCCCCCCCCCCCCTCGGGGGAGACGGGCCGCGGGGCAGATGGCTGGCGCGTGCCTCGCGGGCCGACCGATGTAGAATCGACCCGCAATGCATGTCGCGGACGTTAGTGCCCCTCTTGTATTATCCTTCTTCCCCCCTTCATCCGCTCCTCGCGCAACCGCTCGAGCGCCCTGTCCGCTCGCCCCTCCAAGCGCTTGCGCGTTTGCTCATAGCTTCCAGACTCACGCTGCCGACCCTGATTTCTGTCGCGCTGCTTCGGACCTCCGCAGCCGCGATCGGCGCTCGGCCCCCCCTCGTGATCGGGCGGCCTGGAGTAGACGGCGTGCTCGCCGGGCTGGGCGCGCGGCGGGGGGGCGGGCGCGCGGGCCCCGAGCTCTCGCGGCGCGCCCCCCATCGCCCTCTCCGCGGGAAAGGGGGGCGCGCGGCGACGATCGCGTGAGACTCGCCCGAGGCTCGCTACAATCGCATGGAACTCGCCGTCGGGCCCCCCCCCCTGCGCGCCCATCCTGGTCGAGTCTCTTCGCCAGTCGGCGACTGCGTCGCTCGGGGAATGGGCGCCGGGCCACGTCGACTGCCGCCCTGGCGTCTCGGGCCTGGGCGGGAGGGGGGCGAGGGCGATCGTCGCGCGAGGTGGCCGCCGCTTGCGGCGCTCCCCTCGGCCGCGCCAGATGCCAGGCGACTCGGCCAGCGGAAGACGGAGGACGACGACGGGGGGTGCGATGGGGGTCGGGGGGGGGCGAGGATGGAGGGGGGCGAGGAGGGGCAGGGGGATGAGGAAGGACATCTTCGAGCGAAGCTCGGATGAGCCCAGATGGGGAGGGCCCCGCGCGGGCCGCGGAGGCCCCGGGCGCCCCCCCCCCCAGTCTAGCCCGCCCCATCCAGGCCACCCAAGAAGATGCAAGGGCACCCAGAGACACTCGCAAAGGCGTTCGCGAGGTCACGCAGCCGAGCAATCCCAGCCCTGCCTGCGCGCCGCGCGCGCCGCATCATCACTGGAACGTCAGCGATAGCATGCCCACTGCATCTGTCTTTTGTTCTGTCGGTGGGGGGCGCGCGCTCGGCGCGACATTTCAGGAGGCTCAGAGCGAGTGGAGCACCAACCCTCACCGAGCGGAGAGAAGAGGTGAATCGTTATCAGCCCTGACGCCGCCTCCCCGGAAGCGGCCCCATCGACCTCCTCAGCCCAGGAGACCTCCATGATGGACTGCTCAAAGCCTGGGCCCCCCGCCCCTGGGAATTTGCCCACCGAGATCCCCCATCTGTTTCCTGAACAGGAGCGCGTCTAGTCCAGGCGCGCCTGCCCCTGGCCCCCGGTTTCGGCGCGAGGCCGCCGCGGGGGGGGGGGGGGGGGGGGCGCCGCCTTCGAGGCCCAGCGCCCCAGACGGCAGATATCCCACTTCGCTTTTAATCGCTGAGCCTCAACTAAAACAGACGCATCCTCAAGAGTCAAAGAGGTCCTGGCACGCGCCCAATGCATCCGTGAGTCGATCCTATGTGCCGCCATGCCTCCTTCGCACCCAGGTCGCGCAAGTTGGCCCATCCATTGAGCTTCAGTGGGAGGGCCGCGCACGCAGCGAGGAAAGGTCGTCGCTCCGTTCCATATCTAGATTCAGCAGCCCATCGTGCCAGCCGACGCATATCACGCCGGCGCCCATTCCTCCACGCCTCCCACAGCTGGCCCATAGTGCGAGCCTGGAAGTCTTACCATTCCAGCAATCGTTCGCGTCGCATTTGTCTCGATATAGCGCGCGGAACTCTTGTGTGATCTGCATTGTCTCGTAGCCGATGGCCTTGTTCAAATCCGCTTCCTGCATCAGAGCGCTGTGCTCAGGGGTGCCTGGAGCTGCAGCCGACGCCGTCGCCGTCGCCCTCTGCGCTGCACATGCGCCGCTGCGCCCCGCGCAGCCAGGACCTTGCCGCGCGCTGCGCGAAGCGGGGGCCAGGGGCAAACAACCGTCGCGCAACAGGTTTTGGCGCGAGGGGGGGGCTGGAGCAGACAGCCGGCCCGGCGCGCAGCTCGATGGAATCGCCACTCAGGTCGCTCAGCGCGCCCAACCGCCATCCCTGCCGACGTCGCTGCCGACAAAAAAAACATCACGCCGGTGCGCTTGCAAGGCTTGGTATCGCTCGTCTCAAGGATGCCCGGGAGTGAAAAATGCTGAGAACCTGCAATCCTAGCACCTTCCAGTTGAGAACAGTAGCTGTCTGGCAATGTCTCCTGCGCTGAAGATGCGAGCAACTCCTCTTATTCCTCAAGCCGCGCTTCGGCTGTTAGAATATATTCGTCTCTAGTCTGGAATCCGTGGAAAGCTTCCATCATGGTACCACGATTCCATGTTATACGTTGCTGCTTTGCCTGCCGAACAAAGCGCCAGGACGGGACTTGGAATTTCACGTGCAAGAACATGAGGTCTCGCCGGGCGATTGTACTGATCAGCTGGAGGTGACGCGATACTGCACTCAGGGTTTCCGATGCGAGAATGTCGTCGCCCGCCAGGCTTGAGGGCACACGTAGATAGCAGGTCAAACTCTGACCCTTGCTTCCGTACCGCGTAGTCTGGCCGCTTTTTCCCAGAAGCTGCATGTAAATGATGCGCTTCCCGTGATGCGCGGATAAGCTGGCCAGCAAGGCGTTCTGGTCTGGGAGCCCAAATGGCTAACCACGGATGTCTCGATGTATCTCTGTGGAGGAGTCACCCGTTCTTCCTACTCCATTACTGAAATCCGTAAGCATGATAGGTATTCTACGCGTAGGTATTTGTTTACCAATATCTGACAATGGGAGGAGAGTCTAAGCGCATATGCGTATAGTCGTACATGTCTTACCTGACCCTGACGGCCAAGCCCCGACATGCCAGATCCTGCACAGGAGCCCAAACTTGTCTTAAACGCTTTTGTTTGATGTTGCATCCGAAACTGAATATGATCCTCGCCGTCGGATTCGTGAATCTGCCTTTAAACCATCCCCCCCACACCTGCCATCGACATCCAATAAAACGCTGCTGCACTCGAGTTTCGCCCATCGAACCCGTGCGTGCCCACCGCAAGGCGTCGAAATTGGTCGTGGAGAAGGAAATGTCCTCTTGCCCTCCGCGGCGGAACGCAGAGCGGGTGGTAGTGGCCGAAGCGCCATACATGAAGGAGATGATGTTGGTGTTCGTCTGCCCCTCCTTCTCCCACTTCCCGAGAACATGTCCACTGTCAGCTGCAGACATGCCCCCGCCGCCATCAACGCCACCAGCAGAAGCATGGTTAACCCTGACGAGTCATCAACGACTGTGTGTGTCAGAGCCTCTGCCGCCCAATCACACCTCGAACACAACGGAAGCTGGTGGGGCCAGGGCAGGGAGGGAGGAGGGAGAGGGAAACAGAGGAGAGAAGAGGGGACGTAAGAAGGGGGAAGGGAGAGGGACACTCCCTCCCTTTCCCATTCCTGATTCCCGTCTGCTCTCCCCAGGAGAGAGTGGGAGGGAAATTGAAGGGGGAGGGGAAGGTGCTGAGAGCGGGAGGATGCATGCAGGGGCTTTCGAGGAGGAAGCGTGGGACAGAAGTTTGTACTAAAGCACTGTTGATACATCCTGTCTTTACTCTTCTAATCCTCCTCGTCCTCCTCCCCCTCCTCCTCCCTGTTCCTGCTCCTGGTCCTGCTCCTGCTCCTGTTCCTCCTCCTTGTCCTCTGACTCCTCCTCCCCCTCCTCCTCCACTTCATCCGGTTCCTCCTCCCCCATCTGCCAACAGCGCGACAGGATCACAGGGATGCGCCGTAAGGATGCAAGGCCCTTGGACACCCAAGTTGGAGCTTGTTTGGTGGGCTGGCAAGCGAAAATTGCCAAGGGTGGGCCGAAGAGACAAGGATGCAAGGGTACCCTTGGCAAGTTGACAATCCTTGTGATGTGAGTTGGCTGTGCTCCTCGGGAGGGGTGGCACGCCAGGGACCTCGAGATGGCGCTGAAGGCTTCGGGCTGATGAACGCCAAGCCGCGCGAACGCGTACGCCGCGAGCGTCAGGTCGCGGGCGCAGGCCCGCGGCGACTCCACGCTAGAACAGCCGCCTGGGAAGAGGTCCCTCCAACCATCCACCCCACCCTCCTTCTGCCTGCTCCTCCAAATTATCATCCCTCTCCTCATCCGTGTCCTCATACCCCTCCTCATCCTCATCCTCATCTTCCTCCCCCTGCTCCTCCTCCTCCTCCTCCTCCTCCTCCTCCTCCTCATCGTCGTCGCCGCATCAGCATCATCAGCATGATCAGCACCAGCATCACAATCAGCATCAGCATCAGCATCAGCATCAGCAGCATCATCATCATCCTCATCCTCATCCTCATCCTCATCATCATCATCATCATCAGCGCCATCATCATAATCATCACCATCATCATCATCAGCATCACCAGCATCAGCATCGTTATCATCATCATAATCATAATCATCACCACCACCATCATCATCATCGTCAGCATCATCGTCAGCATTGCAATCATCATCATCATCATAACCAACATCATCATCATGATCATCAGCATCAGCATCATAATCATCATGATAATCAGCATCATCATCATCAACACCATGATCAGCATCATCAGCATCATGATCATCGTTATTATCATCATCATCATGATCAGCATCATCATCAGCACTAATATCATCATCACAATTGTCATGGTGATCATCATCATCATCATCATCACCATCACAATCAGCATCAACACTATCGTCGTCATCATCAACATCAGTATCATAGTCAGCATCAGCATCGTCATCCTCATCATCATCAGCATCGTCATCATTGTCATCATCATCACCAGCACCACCATCATCAGCACGAGCATCAGCATCAGCATCATCACCATGATGATGATGATCATCATCAGCATCATCATCACCATGATCAGCATCATCACCATCATCATCGTTACCATCATCATCATCACCATCATGATCATCATCATCAGCACCATCAGCATCACCACTGTCATGGTGATCATCATCATCACCATCATAGTCAGCATCAGCACGATCGTCAGCATCATCAGCATCATTATCATCGTCAGCATCAGCATCGTCATCACCATCATCAACAACATGATCATCATCACCCGTATCCGCTGAAGCATCATCACCATCAGCATCATCAGCACCATCATTATCAGCATCGTCATCATGAGCATCATCATCACCATCATGACCAGCATCATCACCAACATCAGGTTCGTATTCTTCATCAGCGTCTTCACCATCGTCATCATCATTATCCTCACCATCATCACCACCATCAACATCATCATCAACGCCATCAACATCAGCATCAGCAGCATCATCATAATCGTCATCATAATAAGAACCATCGTCATAAGAATAAGAATAATCATCATCATCGTAATCACCATCAACTTCATCATCATCCGAATCCATATCCATCCCCTCCGCCGCCTCCATCTCATCTTCGGGCCTCGTGCTCCCTCTACCTCCTCAGCCTCCTCCTCTATTCCTCCGTTTCTGGGCCTTCGGGGACCCACCTGACTCGCAACAGCTGAGAGGAGGTCCCTCTTGTCATCTCCTCCATCCTCCTTCCTCCTGTTCTTCCCAATCATCATCATCATCCTGACCATCATCATCATCATCCTTATCCTCCTCATCCTCATCCTCCTGCTCCTCCACATTATCAGAGTCGTCGACGCCGCATCATCATCATCAGCATCATCATCCTCATCATCAACATCATCAACACCATCATCATCATCATCATCATCATCATCATCATCATCATCATCATCATCGTCATCGTCATCGTAAGCATCATATTCACAATCAGTATCATCCTCATCATCCTCATCATCACAATCATGAACATCATCATCACCACCGTCATCATCACCATCACCATCACAATCACCAGCAGCATCAGCATCACCATAATCCTCACCATCATCATCACCATCAGCATCATCATCATAATCAGCATTGTCCTCATCATCATCACCACCATCATACTCATCACCAAAATCATCATCTTCGTCATGGCCATCATCAACAACATCATCATCAACATCATCAGCATCATCATCATCATCAACATCCATGTTCATCCCCTACTCCGCCTACGTCTCATCTTCTGGCCTCATCCTCCTTCCTCCTCCTCCTCCTCCTCCGCTTCTGGGCCTTAGGGACCCGTCTAACTCGCAACAGCTGGGAGGAGGTTCCTCTTGTCATCCCCTCCATCCTCCTCCCTCCTGCTCCTCCCATTCATCATCACCCTCATCCTCCGCATCCTCATCCTCCTCCTGCTCCTCCACATCATCAGTGTCGCCGGCGCCGCACCATTGATCATCATCATCACCACCATCAACATCAACATCGTCATCATCAGCAGCAGTATCATCAGCATTATCAGCATTATCATCACCAGAATCATCATCACAATCAGCATAAACATCATCAATCAGCATCATCCGATCAGCCAGCGAGCGACGGCAGCGCCAGGCAGGCAGTGGATGCCCCGACTCTCGACCCATTTTCGGGACTCGTCTGGGATGGGACATTCAGCGGAATCGCGGCGCATGACCTGTGGCCGCTTCATCCACGGAAACCACTTCGTCGCGAAAATGATACCGGAGAAAAGCCCAATCATATTTTTTGTTCGGGCGATGGGGCAATAGGGCTATAGGGCTGTAGGGCTATAAGGCTATGGGGCTATAGGGCTATGGGGCTATAGGGCTATGGGGCTATAGGACTATAGGGCTATAGGGCTATAGGTATATAGGGCTATTAGGGCGATAGGGCTATCAGGGCTCTAGGGTTTTAGGTATATAGGGCTATAGGGCTCCAGGGCTACTAGGGCTATAAGACTATAGGGCTCTTGGGCTATAAGGCTCTAGGGCTATTCGGGCGATTCGGCCTATAGGGCTATAGGAATATAGGACTGTAGGGTTGTAAGGCTATAAGGGCGACCCGGCACCCAAAATTGCCAGCGCCATGGAGTTGGCGTTCTTGCTGCGGCGCATCCATGAGAAGGCGTCGAATAACACCTCATATCCGTTCTGAGGTTGCCCTGCGGAAGATACCGGCAGCCACTTGGCAGGTGACCGATTGGTGTCGCAGATGTCGCACTTAAAGTTGCGAGCAATGCGTGAGCCTCTGGTGGAGCCCCGATCTCGTAGAAAGCGTAGTAGGTGAGCCTTTGGCAGGTGCCCGAGGTTCGAGTGCACTAGCCGAGCGTAACTAGCTCTCAAACTTCTGAATCGTTTCCATCTTGTGGTCGAACTTGTCCTTCCCGTCCATCGGTGGTACTGGCAGGTCTTCAGCGGGCTGACGCGTTGGGTCCACGGGTGGCTGCTGCGTGGCTGTCAAGTAGTGGCAGCGCACGATCTCCTCATCGAAGTGGCTGAGGTTGGCATTCCTCGCAAGTGCCCTCTGGATCCTCCTGCGCAGCATCTTGGGATAGTGGCCTGAGGGCTCGGTCCTCTGGCCGCCCTCGATCCCCTCGTGGTAGCGGCCGCCTCCAAAATGGAGGGGCTGTAGGGCTATCCAGTTCCTCTTTTTGTTTTCTTCCTGAGCTCCCCTGTGTCGGAAGCCTTTAGGCCCCGGGCGCAGCCGCCCACAATGACCTCGTAGGGCAGTAGCTTGTGGAGGTCCTTCCAACGCGCCTTCTGCCAGGATCTGCCATTGTGAGGTTGCCCAGCCAGCGCCGCGCCGCTGAGGCGGACGACCTGCTACTCGATGAGCCGCTTGTTGTTCTCGAAGATGCGCTGGCTCTTGAGACCCTGCTTCCTGCAATTATCTCTCTGCTGGTCGTTCCGCTGGCTCGCGGTCTGAATAATTGACCATGGACTGCGCTGCGACTCGCTCACTCACAGCTCCGGGCGGCCCTCGTCGAGCATGAACTTTGCCATGCGGTGGCCTTGCGGCTTGCCGAAGTCGCAGTCGCTGCGTAGCCCGAGCCGCTCGCACGCGAGACCTTTCTGGTCCAAGACCTGGCCGAGGTTCGAATCTTAAGGGGCGCGGGCCTCGATCGTCGCCGGGCGGCCGAACACAAGGCTCCAAACAATGCTGATTTCGTGGTGTGCGCTGCTGCTCAGATGGCGCGACGTTGGCGCCCCTTGAATTGGCGGCTATCATCGGACGTCCGTCCTGACTTCTCAAAGCGAGCGTGGTCTAGCCCGTCCGAGTCGTCTCCGCTTACTGCGCGTGGCACCACCCGTAGGCGTTGACCTTCATGATCGGCTCTTTCCTGGCGGTCTCACGATTCAGCTGACATCGCGGATGCTGGCAGTACTGTATGAAATAAACATTGATCGCGATGGCCAGGACGGTCGGCTTGCAGTCCTTCTTCTTGAACTTGGTCTCCTCCTTCTTGATCTCGATGGCAGCGCCGGGGGCGCCCCTTCCCTGAATGACGTGGGCGACCAGCCTGTCGCAAATCACCTCCTTGCCGCTATGCACCAGCCCCCGGCTCTTGCGCAACGGCCTGACATGATTCGCGACGGTCATCAGTTTCAGCCTGGATTAGATCTGGTCCGAGTTGAGCTCCGCAAGCGCGTGAATGTCTGAGCGCGTGGTCAAGACATGGGAGTTTGCGGTCACGATGGCGTCGCGTAACTCTCTGCTCTGTGATGAGGTCGACGCTGTTGCTGATGGCTTTGACCTCCCTTCTGGGATATTCTCAAACGTTGTCGGGTGATTCGCGTCAGTCTGCCAGGTCGGTGGCTTCGACCGGGACAGGCGCAGCTCGCTCGTCCGCGTCTCCCAGGGAGGGAGGTGCTCGTCCAAGCAAATCGCCGTGCCCCTCCTGGCCTTCGAAGCGGGCATGCTGTCCTCGACCGTGTAATTGCACTTGCCTCCGCGTCGCGGTGACGAACAGTCCCCCCCGGAAGCTGCCTCGACCTCGCCGCTGTCTCCCATCCCGAATCCACCGGGGTCCTCGAGAGGTCCATCGACAGCCGCTCCCACTCGCGCACGTCCTCGTCCTTCACCCGGACCTCCTGGGTCTCGGCTTCGCAGCATTTCGTCTCGTGGTTGAAGCCCAAGCAGATATGGAGTTGAATGATGAGAGCTGCGCTGAGAAATCGCACTAGTATCGTTCTCTGCCGAAGCGGCCGCTGAAGGTGAGGACAGCATTGGGGGCCCCAGCTCGGGGGGCCCTGGGATCTTTGGAAATCCTCCAGGGGGTTCTTCTGGAATGTCACCTGTGCATTTGGGCTCTGGAGGAAATGAGGCCATTAACGAAGTCCTGGAAGTTTGCGCGCGTGCCTGCGCGGGCTGGCGCGGCCGCAGAGATGCACCAGCCAGCGCTAAGCACTCATCGCAATCGCTGCCGCATGGATGTTGCAAACCAAGTTGCGGGTGATTGGGTGGGATGCTTGCAAGAGCCTGAAGTTTGCCAACTCGCTTGTAAAAAATCAATTGCACAGCATTGATTGCACCACATGGATAACACAACAGATATTGCACAACCAACTACACTGCACAATTACATATTTTGCACACAAAGGTTGCACAACACATATTGCACCACTTAAGCTGCACCAAATAATTTGCAGCGAATATATTATATTACTTGGATTGCACAACATATATTGCCCTGCATATATCGCAACACATATACTGCACGAGAAAATCGCGCCTGCGACGCGCTCTTTAGCCTCTCACAGCATCGAGTGCACTAAAAATAGCTTCGCACCGCAAACATACATACATGGCACCGCATATATGGCACCGCATATATTGCACCACATGCACAGGTTGCATCACACATATCTCCCGGCATGTACTGCATCACATCGATTGCATCACATATATTGCACCAAATATATTGCACAACGTAAATTGCACAGCACCTATTGCACACACTATCTTACACAGCATAGATTGCACATCGTAGTTTGCACAACATATATTGTGCATCGTAGATGATACAACATTGACGGCATGACAAATGCGCCACATAGATTGCATAACTAACACGTGTCGATCGACATAGATTGCACGATCTAGATTGTTTCACCTGGATCGCACCACGTTCATTGTACACACTGTTTGGGGCCCACGCCGGCCAACATCACTTTACATACACATATACGAACACACATTCAACGCTCCAGCCGCCTTCTTCCGGCGGCGGCAAGCAGGCTGCGGTCGCCCTCGCCTCCTCCGCGGCCGCCGCTAGGCGCGCGGCGAGCTCCTCGAGCACGGGCTCACCGCCGCTGGCGCCGAGCCTCGCGAACGACGAGGCGTGCAGGCACAGCTCGGGCAGCTGAAAGTCGTCCAACAGAAGGACGGTTCTGTTCTCGACCTGTTGGCAGCGCGCGCAAGGGGGCAGGGGGAGGGGGGGGCAGGCTTCTCAGCGAGTCCCTTCTTATGAGGAGGCTTGGGAAGGAGGCTGCTTCCTGGAAGGCGCCAGCCTTCGAAGAAGCAGGGGTGCTTCTAGGAAGCCTTCCCCCCTCCCCCTCCCCACCTCTGCGCGTGACCGAACCCTGGGGAAACCCAGCGATACCGACGCCGATACCGCTACTCTCCAGACCTCTCCTGGGGTACGTTCTTACCAACATTTCGAGGCGAATCCAGAGGTGGCGACAAGGGCCACCCAGGAAGCCCAGCAAGAGAAAAACCAAGGAAGGCCAGCGGTACTGGCACCTCTCCCTCATCGGAGACCTCCTCCACGACGGACGGCATCACGCATCTCGCGGTGGCGTACGCATCCATCAGCAAGCAGAGTTCCTGGGCGCTGCACATGTGCGCTGTCGCGAGGACGCGTGGGGCCATCGCCACGCACAGGTCCTCACGCAGGAAGCCCAGCTGCGCCCAGCCTCTGCACAGCGCGGCCAGGTCTGGCGCATCCCACGCCGCCATCGTCCCCAGGACCGTGTTGCTCAGCCTCTGGAACAGATAGATGTGCTTGCGGTGGATGAGGACAAAATTGTCCACGATCATGAGGATGTCGCGCTTGTCGGTGGCCTCTGCCATGGACGGTATGTCCGCGAACTGGCCCCAGAAGCCCTCGTTGAGCTCGGGCGCCTCCTCGGCCACGGTGGCACCCGCCCCCACGGGCCCGCCCGCATCCGGCGGCCCTCGCTCGCCCTGGCGCAGGGCGGCTAGGGAGTCCGCCGGCACCTCCGCAGGGTCCCCGGCAGGTGTCGGAGAGGAACAAATCGCATCGCCGATGCGCATCGCGCCGCATCGCGGATACATCGGCGATACGGCGCGGCCATCCTAGATCAACTACCTTCGCGCGTCGAGTCCCGCGGTGCGCGACAATCGATGATCCTCGCGCTCAGCGACGACGGGATGGAGAAAATCGTGATCCAAAGCGCGCCACATCGGCGATGCGGCGCGGCCCTCCCACCACATCCTGCTCCGGCCCCCCCCCCTTGGAGGCCATGGACTTGGACTCCCGAAGTGACTACGGAGAAAATGGGCACGATACCCAACAAAACAGGGTTGCCCAAAACCGACAGTGGCCGCCGTTGGGCAACTCTCTGTCCCAAACGGACAACAACCGCGGCGACACCGACAACGAGTCCTGCCCAAAATGGGCAGGAACTGGTTTGATCTTCGCGACCATTCATTCCGTATCCATTTCGATCGTGCCGATTGTTCGGTGGCATCTCATGGGAGCCTCCGATGCCATCTTGCTGTCTCTTACAAATCGACGCTAGCCGACGCTGATCGACGCTGATCGACGCTAATCGGCGCTAAATCGACGCTGATCGACGCTGATCGACGCTAAACCAGCGTTTTCTCATCGATTGCCGGACGCCAGCGAACGCCAACGCACTCCAGACACGGAGTTCCGAAAACAAACGAAAAGGCCCCCATGATTTGCTACCGAACCGTTTCGACCGTGCCCATTGGGAGGCCATGGAGCCTCGGGGCCTCGCCAGGGAAGGCCGGGCGCCGCCGCGGCGCTCCGCGGCGGCCCCGCCGCGGTGCCCAGCGGCGGCCCGACGGCGGGCCCCGCCAAGGAGGCGGCCGCCGGCGGCCCGGCGCAGAGCGCGGGGCGCGCCAGCCGGAGGCCGGCTCGCGCGCACCGGGCAGCGCGCATCACGGCGGCTGCCAGGCGCCGCGGCGGCGGGGGCGCCGCAGGGGGGCGGCGCAGGTCGCTTCGAGGCGCTCGCCCGCGGCGCCCAGGGAGACTCAAGCAAATCGACGCTAATTCCAAGATTCTCCATATTTTTCCATATCTCCTGGGCGTTCCTCTTCCCATCCGCTTCCCAGATCGCTTCCGTCCACTTTTCACGGGAGATTCGAGGCGCTCGCACGCGGCGCTGGCTCACGAGCGGGTCCTCCGCCTCGCTGCTCAGCTGCAGGCAGGTGAGGCCCTGGGGCACAGGGCGGCCTGCAGGGCGCGCGGCCTGCCGATGCGCTGCGCGCGGTGCGGCAGTGGCATCCTGCGTGCTTGGGCTCTGGGTCGCCAGCTCCTCTCGGGCGTTCGCTGTGGTTGGCGTTGGGAAGGTAGCGAGCACAAACGATCTCCGAAAAGCACACTACCCCTGTGAGGGGATCCCCCCGCGAAGGCCTCTTCTGTGCACGCCACCTCCTACCAGGGCTGCTTCGGTGCGCGCTATCCCCAAGGTGCGGGATAGCGTGTAATGAGCAGGCCAGCGGCGCCACATCACATGCTGTCTTTCCGGGCATGAACGCGCACCTTTCCACCACCTGTTGAGCCGCGGCACGGTCGAACGGTAGCACCGGGACCTTCGGCGGGGCTCCCTGCGGGGCCACGAAACGCTGTATTGGGCGCGGGGGACGCATGCGGACGGTAACACCGGGACCTTCGGCGGGGCTCCCTGCGGGGCCACGAAACGCTGTATTGGGCGTGGGGGACGCACGCGGACGGTAGCACTGGGACCTTCGGCGGGGCTCCCTGCGGGGCCACGAAACGCTGTATTGGGCGTGGGGAACGCATGCGGACGGTAGCACCGGGACCTTCGGCGGGGCTCCCTGCGGGGCCACGAAACGCTGTATTGGGCGTGGGGGACGCATGCGGACGGTAGCACTAGGACCTTCGGCGGGGCTCCCTGCGGGGCCACGAAACGCTGTATTGGGTGGGGGACGCATGCGGACGGTATTCGGCGGGGCTCCCTGCGGGGCCACGAAACGCTGTATTGGGCGTGGGGGACGCATGCGGACGGTAGCACTGGGACCTTCGGCGGGGCTCCCTATGGGGCCACGAAGCGCTGTACTGGGTGGGGGGGGCGCATGCGGACGGTAGCACCGGGACCTTCGGCGGGCTCCCTGCGGGGCCACGAAACGCTGTATTGGGCGTGGGGGACGCATGCGGACGGTAGCACTGGGACCTTCGGCGGGGCTCCCTGCGGGGCCACGAAACGCTGAATTGCGTGGGGGACGCCTGCGGACGGTTTAGCACCAGGTCCTTCGGCGGGGCTCCCGCAGGGCCACGAAACGCTGTATTGGGCGGGGGGGACGCATGCGGACGGTAGCACGGGGGGACCTTTCGGCGGGGCTCCCTGCGGGGCAACGAACGCTGTATTGGGCGTGGGGAAAACGCAAATGCGGCGGTAGACTGGGACCTTTCGTCGGGGGCTGGCCCTGCGGGCCCGAAGCGCTGTACTGGTGGGCGGGGGGGCGCATGCGGACGGTAGCACCGGGACCTTCGGCGGGGTTCCGTGCGGGGCCACGAAACGCTGTATTGGGCGCGGGGGACGCATGCGGACGGTAGCACGGGGACCTTCGGTGGGGTTCCCTGCGGGGCCACGAAACGCTGTATTGGGCGCGGGGGACGCATGCGGACGGTAGCACCGGGACCTTCGGCGGGGCTCCCTGCGGGGCCACGAAACGCTGTATTGGGCGTGGGGGACGCATGCGGACGGTAGCACTGGACCTTCGGCGGGGCTCCCCCTTGGGGGGGGGGGGCTGGGGCAAACGAAACGCTGGTATTGGCGTGGGAACGCATTGCGGACGGTAGCACTGGGACCTTCGGCGGGGCGCCCTATGGGGCCACGAATCCGCTGTGCTTGGATGGGGGGGGACGCCTGCGGACGGTAGCACTGCGACCCTTCGCGGGGGTCCCTGCGGGGGCCCACGAAACGCTGTACTGGGCGTGGGGGGCGCATTGCGACGGTAGCACTGGGACCTTTTCGGTGGGGCTCTCTGCGGGGCCACGAAACCTGTAATTGGGCGCGGGGACGCATGCGGACGGTAGCAACCGGGGACCTTGTTCGGCGGGTGCTCCCTGCGGGCGTGGGGGACGCATGCGGACGGTAGCACTGGGACCTTCGGCGGGGCTCCCTGCAGGGCCACGAAACGCTGTATTGGGCGTGGGGAACGCATGCGGACGGTAGCACTGGGACCTTCGGCGGGGCTCCCTATGGGGCCACGAAGCGCTGTACTGGGTGGGGGGGACGCATGCGGACGGTAGCACTGGGACCTTCGGCGGGGTTCCCTGAGGGGCCACGAAACGCTGTACTGGGCGTGGGGGACGCATGCGGACGGTAGCACTGGGACCTTCGGTGGGGTTCCCTGCGGGGCCACGAAACGCTGTATTGGGCGCGGGGGACGCACGCGGACGGTAGCACCGGGAGCGGGGCTCCCTGCGGGGCCACGAAACGCTGTATTGGGCGTGGGGGACGCATGCGGACGGTAGCACTGGGACCTTCGGCGGGGTTCCCTGCGGGGCCACGAAACGCTGTATTGGGCGTGGGGGACGCATGCGGACGGTAGCACTGGGACCTTCGGCGGTGCTCCCTATGGGGCCACGAAGCGCTGTACTGAGTGGGGGGGGCGCATGCGGGCGGTAGCACTGGGACCTTCGGCGGGGTTCCCTGCGGGGCCACGAAACGCTGTATTGGGCGCGGGGGACGCATGCGGACGGTAGCACTGGGACCTTTGGTGGGGTTCCCTGCGGGGCCACGAAACGCTGTATTGGGCGCGGGGGACGCATGCGGACGGTAGCACCGGGACCTTCGGCGGGGCTCCCTGCGGGGCCACGAAACGCTGTATTGGGCGTGGGGGGCGCATGCTGACGGTAGCACTGGGACCTTCGGCGGGGCTCCCTGCGGGGCCACGAGACGCTGTATTGGGCGTGGGGGGCGCATGCGGGCGGGGCCCTTGGACCTTCGGCGGGGCCCCCTGCGGGGCTACGAAACGCTGTGTTGGGCGTGGGGAACGCACGCGGACGGTAGCACTGGACCTTCGGCGGGGCCCCCTGCGGGGCCACGAAACGCTGCATTGAGCTGGGGGACGCATGCGGACGTCCCTGCGGGGCCACGAAACGCTGTATTGGGCGTGGGGGACGCATGCGGACGGTAGCACTGGCACCTTCGGCGGGGCCCCCTGCGGGGCCACGAAACGCTGCATTGGGCGCGGGGGGCGCATGCGGACGGTAGCACTGGTACCTTCGGTTGGGTTCCCTGCGGGGCCACGAAACGCTGTGTTGGGTGGGGGGGGGCGCATGTGGATGGTAGCACTGGGACCTTCGGTGGGGCCCCCTGCGGGGCCACCAAACGCTGCATTGGGTGGGGGGGGCGCATGCGGACGGTAGCACTGGGGCCTTCGGTGGGGCTCCCTATGGGCCACGAAGCGCTGTACTGGGTGGGGGGGGGCGCATGCGGACGGTAGCACTGGGACCTTCGGCGGGGTCCCCTGCGGGGCCACGAAACGCTGTATTGGGCGTGGGGGGCGCATGCGGACGGTAGCACTGGGACCTTCGGTGGGGCTCCCTGGGGGCCACGAAACGCTGTATTGGGCGGGGGGACGCATGCGGACGGCAGCACTGGGACCTTCGGTGGGGTTTCCTATGGGGCCACGAAGCGTTGTACTGGCTGCGGGGGACGCATGCGGACGGTAGCACTGGGACCTTCGGCGGGGCTCCTTGCGGGGCCACGAAACGCTGTACTGGGCGTGGGGGGCGCATGCGGACGGCGGCACTGGGACCTCCGGTGGGGCTCCCTGCGGGGCCACGAAGCGCTGTATTGGGTGGGGGGGCGCATGCGGACGGTAGCACTGGGACCTTCGGTGGGGTTCCCTATGGGGCCACGAAGCGCTGTACTGGGTGGGGGGGGCGCATGCGGACGGTAGCACTGGGGCCTTCGGCGGGGCCCCCTGCGGGGCCACGAAACGCTGTACTGGGCGTGGGGGGCGCATGCGGGCGGTAGCACTGGGACCTTCGGCGGGGCTCCCTGCGGGGCCACGAAACGCTGTATTGGGCGTGGGGGACGCATGCGAACGGTAGCACCGGGACCTTCGGTGGGCCCCCCTATGGGGCCACGAAGCGCTGTACTGGGTGGGGGGGGCGCATGCGGACGGTAGCACCGGGACCTTCGGCGGGGCTCCCTGCGGGGCCACGAAACGCTGTGCTGGGCGCGGGGGGCGCATGCGGACGGTAGCACTGGGACCTTCGGTGGGGCTCCCTGCGGAGCCACGAAACGCTGTTTTGGGCGTGGGGGGCGCATGCGGACGGTAGCACTGGGACCTTCGGTTGGGCTCCCTATGGGGCACACGAAGCGCTGTATTGGGTGGGGGGGGCGCATGCGGACGTTAGCACTGGGACCTTCGGCGGGGCTCCCTATGGGGACCACGAAGCGCTGTACAGGGTGGGGGGGGCGCATGCGGACGATAGCACTAGGACCTTCGGTGGGGCTCCCTATGGGCCACGAAACGCGCTGTATCGGGTGGGGGGGGGGGCGCGTGCGGACGGTAGCACCGGGGCCTTCGGTGGGGCCCCCTATGGGGCCACGAAACGCTGTACTGGGTGGGGGGGGCGCATGCGGACGGGTAGCTCGGTGGGGCTCCCTATGGGGCCACGAAGCGTTGTGCTGGGTGGGTGTGGGGGGGGGGGGGGGGGGGGGCGGCATGCGGACGGTGGCACTGGGACCTTCGGTGGGGCATCCTATGTGGCACGAAGCGCTGTATTGGGTGGGGGGGGCGCATGCGGGGGGCCTTCGGTGGGGCTCCTATGGGGCCACGAAGCGCTGTACTGGGTGGGGGGGGGG